CTATATATACTAACAGAGAGAAGAAGGTTAAGGAATTTCAGCTTGACGAATAAACCTTTTGCTTCCCAGTCAAAAGAATGTCTGGGCTAAAAACTGAATCATCATCTAGTCTGAAATACTAAAATTATAAAGGAAAATATAGGTCAGGGTTCCCTCCCCCAGCTCCAGTTAAAAACCATCTGTATGTATACTTCGCCATGAATTTTTAAAGCAATAACTCATTTACGTGCACATTTCCTTCGTTTTCATTTTGCTAAGGTAATTAGTTCCAGAATCTGATTTGTAACTCAGAATTATCTTAACAAGATACACACACCCCACACCCCCAAACACACTTCCTTTATTTCCTTCAATTTTTAAAAGAAAATTTCCAACCAGATAATCCCAATTCATTAATATATGACTATTTTCTACTCTGCCTCTTAATTATTTTTTTCATTCTCTTAAAAAAAAAGAAAAAGTCTAACCATATTTGTTGCTGCTCAAAATTGCTGTTTCTTATAGGGATAGAATTTTTAAAAATTGCTATTTCTCTGGACTTTTGCTACTTTGCATTATTATACCCCTTCTTTGTTGAAAATAGAAATATGTAATATGTAAACAAGACTCATTTCTGGGAAGGTTAGGCAAATAACTCAGTTTTATTTGTCAACTTTAGCTTAGTTTTGTTAACAACTACCTTAAAGTCAGTTTTTATAATACTTGTCCTTAAATAAGCTTGTATATTTTGAAGTTGTTAGTAATTAAAGGCACTAGATGCTGTTCAGTCAAAAGAAATTCTCTTATTTTAGAACTTCATATAAATCAATATAGATTTCATTCACTTATAATAGTCTGGAATAAAACTAGTGGGACCCAATGATCAGCTACACTATAAACTTTTCACAAGGACTTTTTTAAGTTAGCACTGTCCAATAAAACTTTCTACAAGGTCAGAAATGTTTTATAGCTATGATGTCCAAAATGGTAACCACAACCCACGTGTACTATTGTATATTGTACAGAGGAACTGACTAATTTTAATTTTAATAGCTACGTGTGGTTAGTTGTACCTAAAGGAGAGGACTGGTAGGTTAAAAAAAAAAAAAGAAAATATTATACAAGCAAAAAAACAATATATTCTGCATCTGTGAATTTTGAGTCGAATTTGAACTGTTGACGGTTTTTGGCCTCCATCTTCCTTACACTAAACTTCACCAGTGTTTTTATTTTTTTTAAAGATTTATTTATTTTTATACAAGAACCGGGGTACAGGCCAGATGCATGCGGGAGAGTGAGAGGATTCACCAGAGACAGAGCGGGGAAACAGAACAGGCAGACTGAGGAAATACACTGCTGAGGGGGGCAGTGAGCAAGACAGGAGAGTGTCTGCTTCACCATGTGGGATTCTCACAGGCTGGCTGGGATCGAACCGGTGCTGCAGAGGCTGCAGACAGCTTCACAATGCTGCACTCAAACGCCTGTGCCAGCAGAGAGACCCCTTCACCAGTGTTTTTAAATATAGTTCTCATAACAGTAACTCAGATAGCCTATATAAGAAATAAAAAGTTCACTGCCTTAGCAGTAAGGTAGAAGGCAAACTGTATTAAAGACGTCAGAGACTTCAGTGCTTGTTTAATTTCACATATCATTTGATATATATTCAATTTTTTTAAATTAACAGAGTAACACTCAACATATAAAAATCTTTGGTCTAGCAAGGTCATATATACTTGCATTGCATTACTTAAATTAAACATAAAAAAAGTGAAAAATTTACTTAGGGCATACTTTAGCCATAGTTAAATTCTCATCTGGGGTTTCTTTATGGTTGATAATTGGAAGTTTAGAATAAGAAGAAACCTTAAACCTCCATCTATGACAGTGGTAATTGAACTGATTGAGTACAACATCTTCTTTCAAATAAATATTGATTTAATCAAGTCTGCATTTCCATGGACCCTACCAGTAATCTTGACTGAAGCCTGGACACTTGAAACTAACTGATACCCATCTGGATATAAATATTTTGAATGCATGGCCACTGAGTCATAATTATTATTTTTCTTCTGCTCTTGTTTCTTCTTGATTCTTTAGACCTCCTTGGTTAATATTTCTATGCCTTCTCTAAAGCTAAGTGATGTGTGTGTTTAATAAAAAGAAATCGTATGAATTATGGGGAAAACTTGTTTTTGTATCTTGTCTCTGATTTGCTAGTAGGGAATCCCCATGCAGACAGTCTGCCGAGCTCAGTGGGCAGTTTGCTGTAAGCACGTGTACAATTATTAAAATAGTTGACATTTTATGTCTGATAGCCATAGTGAGTCATGATGTTGATTTATCCAAATTATTGTGGACACCTGTTTAGAAAAAAAAATAACATGAAGGACACAGATGCTGGATAGCTAAAGTAAGGGCGGGAAGAAGAAAAGGAGGGAAGTAGAAGAAGGAGGACAGAGAGAGAGAGAAATGGGAGCAAAGACACTTTCAGAGATGACTAGTTTAATACACATAGAATGAAGTCAACAGGCATCACACCGTTCCTGAAAATAAGTATTTTATTATAAGGTTCCCTTATTATTTCTCTCCCTTTCACTCCCTCTTGTTGAGTGTGCCGTTAATCCCGCTTTTTTCAGTTGTGTTTTTTTGTTGTGGTGGTTGAGCTTTTATTTTCTTTTCCTGTTTCTTTCACATCAGGAACCTGTAGGAGGTGGTTGTGGAGACAGATAACTTACTGCAGATGCTTCTTTCTCTTTGTGAGTTGTGCGATGTTTTCTTTGGAACCTCTGTGAATGGTTGTCCTTCACATTTGTTGTCACAGATCTGTTGCCAAACTGTTACCTTAGTTGGTCCTGCAGTGGCACACTGCATGCTGGGATCTGTCTGTGTGAGTAAACTGAAATTTCTCCAGCACCAGACAGCCTTAGAGGTGGCTTGAGGATTATCTTACTTCCCTTTGTACAGGATTCTGTGTGCTATAGGGTCACCAATGGCTAGTTCTGCCTGGCAAGTAATTCAGAAATATTGCTCATGTAGAAAGAAAAGGTAGGCAGTTTACCACTTTCTGCCATTCAAGGGAACAGTTGAAGAACAAAGGAACTAGATAAATACCTACATACTGCCTTTGATGTTGTGAAACACTAGCACAAACAGCTCTGTATTCAGCCAAACATTTTACTTTCCTTTGTAACAATGCATGTAGTTGTAGATTGTTTTCACTTAGCACACAAATCCATGTCTTATATAAACTTATATTCAGTCTTTAATATTCACAACTTGCAGACATGTCTTAATCTTAAAGATGTTTACATATTCACCAGTCCTCGGCTATTACTATTTTTAAAAGTTCTTAAATAAAAAATAAATAACTAAAACTATATACCAATATCTTCTTGGTTGACTTTTATTCTGGCAACATAGAATTTCAACACAGTTTAAATCACATTGGTGACTCAGATCCTGACAGATCTTATAATTCCTATGAAATGAGAGCACAACAAAGAAAAATATTTAGTGAACATTTTTATTAAAATTAGTTTTGTGTTATTAATAGAGATTATCTGTAAAGATCGGCCTCAACCATGTGTCTGTTGGACTGTTCCGGGCTCCGATGGAAGCGGAAGTCAATTTTGCTCTTTCTCCAGCCAAGGGGGAAAAAAAATGAAGGCATGAAGTCTAGGACTGTTGCAGAATCGCTGGCATTATTTCTCTATCAGTGTGAGCCTGGTTGCCTGCTTCCTGGGCTGGTGCATCCAGGATGAGACTGTCAGAGCCTGTTTCCACAACTGCATTTGGAGATGTCTTATTGATTAGGGAGAAAGGGGTGGGGACCTAGTGTGAGGTAAGGGGAGGACCAACTGACTACTGGCTCATGGAAGCACAGGGCATTTTCTTCCGGAAAGATGTCAAACCACTGAGACATAGCCACAGAGGAAGTAGAAAGGTGGAAAAAAAAATCAGGCGACCCTGCAAGAAATGAAGGCATTTCTGATGAGAGTCTGGGGGCTTTCCTTTTCACTCCCTTTATTTCCTTTCCTGTCCTTTCTTTCTTTCTTTCTTTCTTCCTTCCTTTTTTTTTTTTTTTCCTTCCATCATCTGACCTGCAAAGGCTAGAGTGACAGCGTCATGCAAATGCTGCAGTCCCTCAGGTCTGGGAGAGGGTGGATACTAGACTGTGAGTTAATGTTAATGATGAGCGCAGTGAAAATACCAGCCGCTGCCACCCCCTGCACACAGAAGCGCTCTGAGTCAGCATCAGATGCTTTGCCTCGCCTCTCGCCGGTGTCTGTATGCCTGTGTGCGCGCGCGTACTCGCTCGGGCATCCGTGTCTAGCCGAGGGGAGGGGGTGGCGTGTGAGTGCGTGGAGGGTAAAAGCCAGTCAGTCAGTGAGAAGCAAAGGTACGTTGGAGAGCAACTAAAATCTGACTGATTTCCATCTTTGGAGCATCAGATGTATTCCCTAAGGAGGATGGGTCTCCGTGATGGGGGTGGTATAATTATGTTAATGTCATATTTATGGAGGGGTGAGATTTTTCATTCTAATAATTGGTTGAATGCTATGGTCAAAAATTGTAAAGCCATATTCAGTTTTAAGGAAAAGCATGGACTTATATCTAAGATCTGTTTTTATTTTTTGGTGTTCTTTTTTTTTTTTTGTGAGTGCTGCTTTTTTTGTTTTATTTTTTTTTTAACTATTTACTATTTTAAGCCATAACTGATTCAATATGGAAAATCAAATGATAAACAGAAAGAGATCTTATATAATGATGCATTACATCATGGAGCAGAATATATTTAAAGTCTTACAAGGCAAAGTAAAGATGTGCACAGGGGGTAGGGGGTGGTGGTTGGAAAGGGGTGTGGTACTAGGGTGGAGGAGGGGGCCAGTTAGCCAATATTTTGTTCAGCATAGCTTTCCTTGCAGCTTACTTGGAAATGGATGATTCACCTGTTCTACAGGAAAACATTCTAATTCTTTCCGTTTTGTTTTTTTTTTCTCCCTCCTCTTTTCCCTTTTAAGATCAACCACTTCAGAAGAACCAGATTCCACTTCTGTGACCAGGACTTTTATGTTATGGCTGGTCTGATTGTTTTGCCCTGCGTTCTATGCTACTAAGCGTTGGATGATTTCTAAAGTACAAATTCTGTTCTCGAACCACAAACAAGGCTAAAAGATCGGAGGAATTTCAGTGAATATACAGTATTGGGATTTTGTATTTTCAAAAGTATTGAGCTTTATAATGCAGTTATTTAAGAAAGAGAATTTTTTTTAAATTTCTTTTGATGTTGCCAGCATTTTAAGTAACATGTTTATTAAGTGGCATTGCTCAAATTGCTAGAGTCTGCATGTGAAATATTTGCTGTCTGAATAGTTGGGAGATTCAAAGAGATAAAGCACGCTTCAGAGGTATTAAATTATGACATGCAAAAAAGTTTTTGTTTTAGACTTAACTGCAACAGTATATATTTAAAGCAGATTTAAGGTGTTGTATGTCCTGGGCCCACCTTAACAGTTTTGCTGTATAGAAGTGTAATGGGAAGTAAAATTTCAGTTAGGGTCCCATCAACTGGCATATAATTCTTTAATGTAATAGAGGCTGTGGTGTCGCTGCACAAATCTGCTAAAAACAGATTTTAATCCATTTTTAGTCTCTTTGAATCGAACGGAATGCCTCTTAACTGTTCATTGTCTGCAATGCTTCTCATTTTCATTATTATAAGGTCTGGGTTAGTCTATAAATGATCATTGTGAATATTCAGCTCAGTCTAACTTTTATACATCATATATATTTCTAAGTATGTACTTTAATTAGTATTTAGAGGAAAAAGTTTAACTGAACCCAACTATAATTTCTAAGCTAGCCTTATTACTGGAAGAAGAATTCTACTGCATCAAACCAGACTTTTCCTAGTCCCTGAGACCCTAACTTGTGAGGTATTTTAGTAACATCACAAGTCAGGCTCTTGGGACCTAGGCGGAGGGGAACCAGCACCTTTGGACCTTATTGATTGTCTGCAGTTGCCACCAGAACAAAAGAACATACATAGATTCTGCCTAGGAGAAAAGAACAATGCTCTTCTTTATAATCAGCAATGTTTTCACCATGACCCACACCCAAAATACTATTTTCAAAAACTGTACTTTAAAATGGTTACAGAGCTGCACTGAAATAGCATTTGTATTATATTCTAATGACCATATAAAAGCAGTATAAGTTATCTGTATAAGAAGCAAAATTCAAATACAAATGTTTTAAAAATGCTTCTTTTGGTGTATATTAAGGTAACTAGTCTGAGAGAATACCTCCTTAGTTAATAGGAGAGTGGTTATTTATCACTTCTTTCATATGCATAGAAACAGAAACATTAGCAGCATAAATAAATCCTATATGTCTCCACGTAACTGTGACTCAGAATATGTAATATATAGCTGTAATCATGTTTGAGGCCTAGAAGTAAAATGATTTGCAATCCTCTTTACTGATCCTATTTAATTTTGCTATTGATTTTAGAATGCTGTTTTATACCTCGGATTTATTGCCAGAGTTTTCCTTAGACTTTGAACCAGACAAAATACTTTATGTGTCTTATTATCTTAAGACAGTTTCTTGTTATAAGAGTTCAAGGGTGAGCTATCAATAATTAGCAAAAATATGGTACTTTTCAGTTGTCACATTTTACTTTGTATATCCCATGCACCTATGTGAGATGAATCAGTAAACATCACCTATGAAGACTGCTCTAGTTTATCTGCCAACTGACTCTGAACTGAATAGTGTTAGTTTTGTAAGAATTATAATTTTGTAAGAGATACCTAATTCAACTCTAATTGTTGTGACATATTTGAATATTATTAGCCATTGCCACATCAAGCATGTGTTTTTTTGAATGGAGTTAGTATATTAAACCTATGTAAACATTTTACAGTAATGTTGCAAATATTAAGATTCAAAATGGAGATGAGAGACTTCCCATAATAGAAGAAACAAAATGATTTCATTCATTAAACTCTATGACTTTATATGCTAAAATAAATATATGGCTGTATTTTAGGATACAGTATGGAGTCTTTGTTCTCCTTTTTATTGGATTTGTAATAATTACTTTTGATTTGAAATATCACAGAATGCCAATAACCGTTGAGTTACACTTACTAAAAAAAAAGGGCATTACAATATCATAAACATTTTCCTCTATGCAAGGCACATAGAATTTATTTAAGCATGAATCCACATGGTATCTGTGCAAACCTTTGTATCATGTATTTCATTTATCTAGAATCTCTGAAATTTTATGTGTGTATGCATGTGTGTATAAGCATATGTTTTAAAACTCCAACTGAAAGGAGGTAATGTAAACAGTAAAGAATTTTGGCAGTATGTATCTTTTATTTCTGTTAACCTCATTCTAATTGTAATTAAGCAATTTAAAAAGCATAAGCTTCTTGGTACAAATAACTCTGTGTATCTAGAAGTACACAGAAACGTGATTATATTTAATAGCAATGTTTACACAAACTATTTCTTATATAAAACAGTAACACATAGGTATATGTTTCCGGACACCTGTTTTGACATGAACATGAATAGTACGAATAAAATGTTCCATCATTTTAGCACCAAAATAATGTAGAAGATAAATGTTTACAAGCTGTACTGATGTTAGATATAAGCTATTGTTTCAAATGCAAGATTTTCCTTCTAGGCTGTTGTACTTATGAAACATACTACATATTAACTTCTATTTCATAGAAGAGAGGTCCTAAAGCTAATGGAGAATGCAGTGATGTTTATTTTTCCCATAAACATATATGAAATTATTTTTTAATCAATCATCTGCACTGTTTGAATCCTCTCCATGTAATCTTCCATTATGTGAGCTGATTTTTCTGAACACATCACTGATAAAGATTTTCATTTACTTACTCCATAAAGGTGAGTAGAGATATGTGTGGGTGACTTTGTTTATATAAACTACTTTATGCTGCATATGGAGAGATGGTTGCCACTTTTCTGCATTTACTTGTCACAGGCTAATACTGTTTTGGGACTGTCTAATATGATTTGAAAAATTAGATCATACTAAGCTTAAAATAAAAGCAGAAATCTACAACAAAGAACAAGAAAATGATGTGTGTTGCATACCAAAAAAGCAGTGATATTAAGAATTCGATGACTTCCTGGTTGGGAGTCCAGCCTGAGCCAGACGCATACATTAAAAGCTGTCTGCTGGGATGTGAGCTTGCTCAATGCGGTGGAAATGAGGAATCACCTCCTCTCTGATACCAGCTTATTTTTACATTTTAATTTTGAAATAGAAAATCACTATTTTACATAACTATACTAACCCAGCTTTCTTTTCCTTTCACACATTATTTTCTAATTTACTGTGAACTTCAAGTTCTCTTTTTGTATTATCATAATCACCTTAAATATCTTTCAAAGACCAATGAAGTATTAGTTTCCTTTTGTCTCTTTTGTATTGCTCTGTTAATATTGTGATTATACATGCTTTTAACTTTTAATCTCTGTAAGGAAAAGATCAATTTTCCAAAATGACATTTTTTAAAACCTTTTAGTACCCATCAAGGAGCCACTTTTGGAATTTTGCCAAGTAGAAATATGATTATATTTCATTTCAGGGTTCATGGGATCAATATCTTTCTCCGTATAAAAGTCCTTAACACTTCAGTATTCCAGTGATGGTGGAGAAGAGATGTAGAGCTATTCTCAAGTAATTTAAGCATTAGGCTATGTTAAAAATATCCAGAAGAGAAGGACATTTCTCTAGGGTATTATAGTAAAGTTAATTACTAATGAAATTAGAAAAGGTGTATTCTGCCTTAAATTCTTCTTCAAATGGGCATGCTGATACACATGCCTACACTTGGTCTCATTCATCTGATAAATATTTAAATGGTTTTGCAAGCTGTCATGTTCAGATGAGTTTTGAGAAAAGCAGTACATAAAGGGTTAGCTAATGCCCAAATTTTCTTGCCATTCACACATGCAGTGCAGCCTACATTTCGGGAGGCATCAAATGCAGGCATCATTTTGATGACTTGGATTCTTTTGTCTAGTTTCTTACTAGACATTTAACTTAGCACTCAAATCCCACTGATCCCCTAGTGACTGTATTTGGAAAAGGAAAACAGAGTTCATATAGAGAAGTTTTCAAAAATCCCTGGCATTTGTAAGCATTTGAAAATGCTTTTGGTGTAGCTCTGCAAATATTTTATTTATATGCAGAAACATAGATGCTGCTATTATCTATATGCCATTTCCATATTTAGTTTTCTGGTCTACCCGTGAAAATATATATATATATATATATATATATATACACACACACACACACTGAGACATTAATGTATATTTTTCTAGATAGATTTTCATTTAAAAAAGACTTAGTTAAAACAGCATAAAAGTGAAACATCATCCTAAATCATCCATACTATTTTTTCCATGAACTAGCGTAAATTTCATTGAATGTTGCTTTTTCCATGTTTTTCAATCTCTCCATATTAAATGGTGCATTAGCAGATGGAGTACATTACTAGTCAATATTATTAATTTGTGTGAAATGTTTTACCTGTGTAAGTTAACAAGAAGCTGAACTTGAAGGTAACTGAGCTTAAGTGAATTTAAGATTAGTTTCATTTTATATAACCAGTCAGCTAAATGCAAACATTTTATGGAGAATTTCAAAGTGAGTGCTTCTTATATGTGAAATTATTTTTTATTATTTTATTATTATTGCTATGAGTGATATGATTTTGAGTTTGTTACTTTAAAATTAATTCCTAAACAAGAAAAACAAAATGTGAAAATGATCGTGGTGCATTGGTTACTTCAGCTAAATTAGAATAATGATTCCTAGATTTCATTTTTAAATTTCAAGGTTTTTCAGGTAGTGGAGTTTATTGTAGATGGATTTATCCATTCATCCTTTCTGAAAAGTTTCTCTTCTCTGTAGGTAGGTGTCTGACCATTTATGAACAGTAAGTGACTATTCTGTGAAATCATCTTTCCTTGCCTTTGAACTAGCTCCCCCTAGGCTCTGAGTAAACATCATTATTTTACACAACCAAATTGGTAGGTTTTTCTTGAAATGCTAATTTGTATTTTTCTAGATATATAAGTGAATTGTGAGAAATTATAGATTTACATTCTCATTTCTGTGTTTCCAATTTCCAAACGTCTTTGGTAAGAGATTTGAATGGTTTTGAAACACTAGCAAACAAAAAGCATTTGGTCTTGTAGAATTAAAAATTCAATGTCTTTCTCATAGTAGACTTCCTATTCTTTGTAAGGAGGGAGGAACCAGACTTTGGCTAAGTTATTACTGCCTTCCACATCATTTTAAAACCCAGTCTGTGCATTTGTAAACCTTGGGGAGGTTTCTACATTAGACAACATTTTTTGTTGGGGGATTACCCCACAGTGGGTTCCCTTCACTTCTGTCTGTCTTCCTGGCCCCCCTCCACCCAACATGGAGCCTTTTCAACTTCTTCAAAGAAATGGGGTCGGGGGGAGAAGTAGACTCTTTATTAATGGCAGAAAACAAACTGGCTGCTGGACTTCCGAAGCAGCCTTCTAATAACAAAGCAGAGAAGGCACTGTGACAAAGAATTCTTGAATGTACTAAATATATAGGGAAGCCGATTTAAATTCACCAGAGGGGCTTAGAGGACAAGCAGCAGAAAGTTTAGAATTCAATTCAAGCCATGCCAGAAAATGAAAATGTACTTAAAAAAGGATTTCTGAAACAATTGTTCAAAGACATGTCAACTTTTAAGGCTCTTTCTAGAATAATGAAATTCGTATTCAAATTTCTGTGGTGACTTTTTCAATTAGAGAGGAAAAATGATTAACAAGATCTCAAAGGAATTGTATCTTAACATTTTTTTTAAATGCACTTTTTTTTTAAACAGGGTATGTTCTAGTGAGGGCCACCTAGTACACTGACTAAAATCACCCAAATATACACACAGGACAAAGCGATTCTATATTTTTTTTAATCAGTTAGGTATATCATGACAGGAGTAGTCTCTCTAAGAGAGAGTAGTCTTCTCTAAGGAAGATAACTTATCTTTTCTAATTTATTTCTTTGCATTCAATTCTGTGATTTATAATACAGAAACCAAGCAAATGAATGAACTAAAAAAAAAATTAGTATATAAGACCAAATTAGTGGCTATCAGAAGGAAGGGTGGAGGAAATGGATATTTCAGGTAAATGGGTTAATTGTAGGGTAAAGAATATAACTGGACTTCTGGTGGTAAATTTAATATAGTGTATACTGATGTTGATTTTAGTGCTGTACACCTGAAACTTATCTAGTGTTCTAGTGCAATGTTATCTCAATAAAAATTATTAAATGAATGCAGTGAAGTAATTCCAAAAGAGCACATTGCTGATAAATAATAGGATTTATGTGATGTTAAATTTGAGAGACAAAAAAAAGTGTGATCCCTACCTTTTCTCATATTGAGAAAATCCTCTTCACCCTTTATGGAGATGTATCTATGAGGAGTGCCCACATCTATTTAACCCTATTGTTGATGTAAAGACTGTTCATAATGTTCATTTAAGGTAGCAGAACCTTGATTCAGGGATAAAATTTCCAGCAGGCTTTTTCCTAATGTCTTCTAATTTTAGAATTAACTAAGTATTGGAGAAAAGAGTGTCATTCTTTGTCTCAGGGATTACAAGTTGTAAAGAGTATGGAAATTTGGACCTACTAGTGGCACATCCTTGTTTCCACTGTGGAAAGATTCTGCTTGAGAATGAAGCCCACATGAATTCACCAATTCATAAATATAACTTATCAACTCAAAATAAGCTGTTGATTCATTATTCCATCCATTCACTTACAAGCTCATATTCATCATTAAAAAAATGAATTAAAACTGTGCCAATTCATGGGTCCTCTTGATCATTTTACAAAATTTGATTCATTTTAAAACAAAATATTGGAAATATGCACATTAGTACTAATTACATAGGGATATTTGGTACTTAAAGATAAACTATAGTATTATCCTCAATAGAGAGATATAGGTGTGTGTGAATATTTAACAAAAAACTGATTTTCACTTGTTGACATTTTAACATTAAGGACTTCAGTAGATTTAAATGATTAATCAATGAAATAACTCAAGTAAATTCCTTAGCCTGTGCCTAACAGCTCAAAAGTACTCAGTAACTATTATCGTGCTTCCTGCTTGGATCTTAGTCTTTGACTTTGCTAAATGGAATTTTTCATCATCAGAATTCACTGGTGCACACTTTCCTAAATAGTGAGTGGCAGACACCATTTGGAAATCCTTTCAGCTGCTAGAGCTCAACAATAATTTACTCTGAGTGTATTCATTAAATGTTTCATAAGTGCCTACTATAAGAAAGAAAAAGAAAAATTCTACTTTCAAATAGCCACAGTCTATAAAAGCTGTCTTTCACTTTCAGACATATTTTGTCCTCTGTGTGTATCTTAGCATTTCATAAATGTCTTTATTATTTTTTCTACTTTATAAATGTGCATTCTATGAGCTTTGCCCTACTTTCTAGTTGTAGATATGATAACCTCCCTATATACTTTGAGTTGTTTTGAGCAAAATGTAGAGTATTTTTTAGGATTTTGCATATCCTAGACTTTCTTCATAGTATGCCCTACAGTATACAATGTTCTAGTGATTATAAGTCATACCTAGACCTTAAAAATAGGATAATAAGAATAGTAATTCCAGAATAATTGGACCAAAATGCTGTATTCATATATGATTTCATTCTCTCTAAAATAAACCATCCTTTAATTTCCTCAAAAAAGGCTAATTTGAATATAATGATATTGAACATGCAGTTTCCTGAAGTAGTAATTAATTTGGTAAAGGACCAGACATTTTAATTAACTATCTCTGGAAGTTACAATATGCAAAATAAAGTTGGATTTTTAGACTTTTTGCCACCATTGAACCACAGTGCTGGAGTAGAGGTAAAAGGCCTGAATTCTACCATCATATCTATCTCCAGTTATTTTATGACACTGAACCTCTCTCCTCTTAACTTTCCTAACTTAGAATTGATTTATAAAATGAATATGTTGATAAAAATGTGTTAAAGTATTTTTAGTCAAAAAAATTATTGTGTCATTGGATAGTTGAGTATTTTTCTCTTGTATAGGGGACTTCTTGAGTCGATGGCATAGGGGAAAAAAGCCCTTTTTAATAAAAAGTCTAAATCACTGCATTAATCAGATTCTAAGTAAGTTCATGAATATCATCTCCTCCTCCTACTTCTCTTCAACCTCTCCTCTTGGTCCTCTCTACCTCTGCCTTTCTATCTCTGATCATTTCCCTCTCTTTTTCTCCCTGTGACGTCATTGTCAGGTGGAGTCTATGTGATAACCATTGGCAACTCCAGACATGCCTCATGAAGCTCTCCTAGAGAAGGATAATGAAAGTTTCTCTGTACCCTACATCAATTTCAGTTCTCAGAAAGGCTCTAACTGGCTCTTTTTGGAGGCACTTCTCTGTCCAAATGAGAGTTAACAGGGCTCACAACATATCTACAAATTTCTAAATTGCTTAGCATAATGATATTTTAATGCTATCTGTGAATTATGTTCGTCATCTTGGTAATCTTAGTGGTGCCTACCAAGATACAGATAATATGAAGTTTTTCAGCCCAAATGTACTGTAGACAGTAAATCACTCGAGTATCATGGAGAGTAATTACATTTTATTAGCATTTTCTATGGTAGACATCAGGAAAGTTAGCATTTGGACTAATTTAGGAATTTGATATTTTAAAATTGGTTTTGGATTATTACAAATAGGAGTTTGATAAAGAAGGGATGATGATTTTATTCTGTAGTTCAATGTCTATCTTCATCTACAATATGTTCAAGGCCATTCTGTATCATCCAGTTTTATATCCTTTCCATTTTTACCTCCAGTGTTAGGAGCTTTATGTTGCTCCCTGATATTTTTTTATTTTCTTGTAAGTATAATTGACACAAAACATTGTATTAGTTTCAGGTGTACAACATGATGTCTCAACATGTATATATAAGGCAGAATAATCACCACAATATGTCTAGTTAATATCCACATACTGTTAATATCCACATACCACCACATACTGTTACAATTTTTTTTCTTCTGATAAGAATTTTTAAAATTTACTTTATTGGCACTTTTAAATATGCAGTATTGTATTACTAACTATAACTGCCATGCTATGTATTACATTACTTATTTATTTATTTTAAAAGATTTATTTATTTATACAAGCACTGGGTACAGTCAGAAGCACGGGAGGGTGAGAGAATTCACCAGAGGCAGAGCGGAGAGCAGAGCAGAGCAGGCAGACTGACGAAGTACACTGCTGAGGGGAGCAGTGGGTGGCAGGAGAGGTCTGCGCACCATGTAGGACCCCAGCCCGGTGGCCAGGAATCGAACCAGTGCTGCAGAGGCTGCGGGCAGCTTCGCAACCCAGCACTCAACCGCTGGGCCACCGGGGAGGCCCTACATTACTTATTTATAATGCTGCTGATTCTTAAAAATCTTTTGGTTTATGGATTTATTTATTTTCTTCTAATATATATGTTTACATTTATGTATACCTGTATATACATATGAAAATACAGAACCTATAATTATCAGTTATTTATATATACATATTTACATGTATATAAGTGTAGCCTATATATGCATGTATATACATATACGTGTGTATACTATTTTCTAGTTGTAGATGTGATAACTTACCTATATGCTCTGAGTTATATGTCTATGTATACATATATATATGTATATGATTAGGATGTTAAATCTTTCTCCTTTTGAACTCTCCTGATTATCTTGGTATAACCTGAGTGGTTTTAAAAATTTTGCAATCAAGAACTACTATGTGAGGATCTTCCTCAACAAGAAAAAGATTAATTTTCTTTGAATAATGGTTCTAATGCAAAATATTTTGGGTTTTCTTATGCAGATGAGCAGTGCTGTAAATATAATTTAGAGAGTTTGAAAATTGATTTTAACATTCGCTATTCTTCTTCCTAATTAATCAAATTACAAAATTATGCTGTGGATTCCAGTATATTAAAATCAGTTGTCATATTTGGAACATCTGTTTATGCTCCTATTATGCATGTGTGTTTCTAAATGTCTGAAATATAGATTGTCATAAATAATGTTTGTTATGTATTCTGTGGAAGTATGATACCTACTTTCTCCCACAATGCTTATTTCCCACAAAGTAAATCTTCCAGATTGTGTTTTATCATTTCTTTATCAAGATGGATGAAAAAAGATGAGGGTTTTAGTTAAGACTTGCTGATTGGTTTAAAAGAGCTATGACTGTCATCGGCAGCCTTTCCAGACACTGAACCATGGCTCCAGACAGTCAGCTGGTACTATCGCTTTGTCTCAACTATAAATCACAGACTCGTAATGGCCAAGGCTGACATCTTGACATTTTCAAGAAGAGTAAAAGACCTGATTTGAATGGAAATCAATTTCATCTCACAAATCTTGGGTTACTACTCTAAGCTTTTCTTATTTCTTCTTGAGACTTATTTGGGATTTTCATGATCATCAGAGGATTATTTGAGTGTTGTACTATCACTTCTTTTATCTGCAAAACCATATTCTTCTTTATTCTAAATGTGGAAATATTGATTTTTAAAATTTTATATAAGAAAAACTCACCAATAAGTCTGAATATATTTTAACTACAATGCATTAATAGTTTAAAATATTGTGGTAGCAGCAACTATTATTTATTTTTATGAAATTTTTATAAAATGTTCTCTGATTTAAAAGTATAGATATCCAGATTAACCTTTTATTATCTGGTAATACATAACATCAATTAAAGCATGGTTTTATTTATTTTTTTAAGATTGATTGATTGATTGATTGATTGATACAAGCACTGGGTACAGTCAGAAGCGCAGGAGGGTGAGAAAATTCACCAGAGTCAGAGCAGGGAACAGAGCAGGCAGAAGGACCGAAGTACACTGCTGAAGGGAGCAGCGGGCAGCAGGAGAGGTCTGCTCGCCATGTGGGACCCTCGCCCTGTGGCCAGGGAGCATCCGAGGATCGAACCGGCGCTGCAGAGGCTGTGGGCAGCTTTGCAACCCAGCGCTCAACCACTGCGCCACCGGGGAGGCCTTAAAGCATGGTTTTAAACTTCAGTCAAGCAGGTATCAAGCCTAGAATCCTCTGAAAAGTCCTTGTATTCTTATACTTATATTTTTATACTTATATTCTTATATTCTTGCACATAAAAAGTAGGTTTAAATTTTCTACAGTCGATGAGGAACAGCCCGTATTTATAGGTGGGTCAGCATTAAACTGCTTCAATTTTTTTGGCTATTCAACTCAAGTGACATAAAAATAGTTCTGTACTTAACTAGTGTGAAAAAAGTTCTTTTTAGATTTTTTGGGAACTTGGTACTGAATGTTTAAAAAAATTAACCTACTCTATTGTCTTCTATATTTAAGAGAATTTCCTTCAAACAAAAGAGGGGAAGAAACTTCTACTTTCTTAGTATTTTTGCTTGCTTCTTCTACAAGAGTGATCTAAACCTAGATCTTCTAAACACAAATATTAATGAAGAATTTGGGTATCACCTTTCTCAGCCTTAACAAATATGGAAAGATTACCACAGTGTCTGGTAATTACTTCATTATTATGAACAGTCTTTGATTGCTAAATTGGTTATTTTGTAATACCCCATAAGCAAGTGGAGTTACAAACGATTACAAACAGGAGACTCTTAGCCCTTAAATCTTTGTATCCATCCTTCTATTCATCTATCTATACACAATCTACAAAAAACAAGACCCAATGCTAGATGTATGGGAAATACAAAATGAAGTTAGAATCCATTCCTCATAGAATAGTATGTTCTTATTAGAAAGAAAGAAAAACTGAAAATGATTATCAAATCATAATGTAACATATCAGGAAAGAATATGTCAACATTACATTTGGCGGTTCAAGAAGAAATGATTAGTTGTTGAGATTTAAGGAAAATTCCACAAAAGAGTTTGCATTTAGATGGTCCTGGTTGATAGCAAAATTTCTAGATGTGATGGGAGAGCTGGGTATCAGAAAAATATGCCACAAATATTTGCAAAAATAAAACGGTGGAAAAATATGTGTGACGGGAAAGATGGTCTTTGTTTGACATTCAATTTTGTTGAAAGATTAGGAGCATTTTTTTTTTATAAAAATGTCTATTTACGTGTAAAGAAATCAGAATGTGGAGGCCTAGTGTGCATGGAGAGGGTTCTGGTGATTTGGCACCTTTATTATGTAGTAGACATTGAGACCTTTTGAAGGTTTGGGGAAAATACATGAGTATAAGATGCAAGGTTATTTTGTTTGTAGTCAGTGCAACTTAAGACTTCAACCCAGAGGACATGTCACAACTATTCAGCTAATGTTATAGAAATATACGACTCTTCTCACTCTGCAAATTCTGAGTCAGGAAATTAGAAGCAGTGCCCATGAAGATGCATTATGTAGGGCCTCCCCCGTGGTGCAGCGGTTGAGCGCTGGGTTGCGAAGCTGCCCGCGGCCTCGGAGGCGCCGGTTCGATCCCCAGCTGCTCCCCGGCCACCGGAGGAGGGTCCCACATGGCGCGCAGACCTCTCCTGCCGCCCGCTGCTCCCCTCAGCAGTGTACTTCGGTCCTTCTGCCTGCTCTGCTCCCTGCTCTGGCTCTGGTGAATTCTCTCACCCTCCCGCACTTCTGACTGTATCCAGTGCATGTATAAACAAAAACAAACAAACAAATAAATAAATAAAACATGCCTCTATTAAAAAAAAAAAAAGATGCATTATGTAAAAGCTCCTAGACAAATAACATTCTCATTGAGAAAGACTCAGATAGGGAATGCTGAAGCAAGAAGATAATAGGGATAATCAGACACACAAAGAAATAAAAGAGGAAACTTAAACTAAATTTCCAAACCTGAAGTTGACATACCCCTGGCTTTTCAATGCTTCATGTTCCCATGAAATTACATGAAATATTTTGAGCGAATATCCATTTTTTTTCTGGGGAAAATGATCCAAACAATGTTAATAAGATTCTCATAGATGAGTAAAGCCACCCCCAAATTAAAAACCACCGGGGACACTTAGTGTGAAAAAGAGAAGAAAATGTGAGAGAATCTCATGACTACAAAAGATGACACTAACATTTTCCACCTTTGATGCCAGAAGAATGAGAATCATAATAATTCTTCTGTGAACCAGCATCACATCCTCCTTGGATCTTATTTCAGTTAAGACAACTTTGATATCAAGTTTGTAGAAATCATGGTATAAATGTAACACCCAGAGATAGATGTCAAACAAATGATGGAAAATTTGGAAGTGATTACATAGTTTGGAAATTATTTTTGATTAGTTAAATACTTAGAAGTCATCAACCTGGCTGATACTAGCTTACTACTCTTTTTGAATGACTTCCTTTTACAGGCAATCTCAAGATTAACTTTTGGCATTCCAACATGCTGTCCAGTTTTCAATTAAGAAATGAGTAAAGGCACACCACTTTCTTTTTTTTTATTTTAATTTAAATTTTTACTTTATATATTTTTACATCATTTTTCATTTTTGTACAATGATTATAGTCCCGGTACAATTCCCACCACCTTATTTTTGACCCTATTCCCTTCTCCCCCCTTGTAGTGTGTCTCTGGTTTATAGTTGCTTGTTGATTTTGATTTTTACTTTATTATAATTAGCAAGAAATGAGTAAAGGCACAACACTTTAAAAAAAAAAGATTTATTTATTCACGCATACAAAAACCGGGGTACAGGTAGATGCACGGGAGGGTGAGAGAATTCACCAGAGACAGAGTGGGGAACAGAACAGGCAGAAGGACCGAAATGCACTGCTGAGGGGAGCAGCAGGCGAGACAGGAGAGGTCTGCTGTGCTATGTGGGATTGAACTGGCGATGCAGAGACTGCAGACATCTTCACAGCGCAGCACTCACCCTCAGCGCCACCAGGGGAGGCCCCACCACACTATTTTTTTTTTAAGATTTATTTATTTATTTATACAAGCTCTGGGTACAGTCAGAAGCGCGGGAGGGTGAGAGAATTCACCAGAGCCAGAGCGGGGAGCAGAGCAGGCAGAAGGACCGAAGTACACTGCTGAGGGGAGCAGCGGGCGGCAGGAGAGGTCTGCGCACCATGTGGGACCCTTGCCTGGTGGCCGGGGAGCAGCCGGGGATCGAACCAGCACTGCAGAGGCTGTGGGCAGCTTCGCAACCCAGCGCTCAACCTCTGTGCCACCGGGGAGGCCCCCACAACACTTTCTTTTGAATGAAAACTCCAGAATTTCTATACACACCTTCCACTATAGCCTTAGAACTTAGTCATAAGGTGCATCAGAGGAAAAAAGGAATAGATATTTCAGAAAAACCAGTAGTCTCTGTCAAAGAGAACATAAACAGCTTTGAAGTATACATCAACTAATGAAACAAAACTATAATAAAGGAACATTTTATCATAATCTTCAACCTAAATAATATGTGTTAATTGGAAAGAGTAGGTTGTATATCATTATTTTATGGAAACATTTTATTTTTTCAAACTCCATTCCTAACTCAGGTGATCCCTGGTTACAAAGTGTATTAAGTCTAGTAGTTCAATATTATTCAACAAGCTAGCTTAAGTCATCTTAAGCCAATTTAAGATATTCTCACTTTATTCTAAAGATAACTAGTGTATTAAATAAATTAAAATCTCATGCACTGATAGCAAGTGTTCATTTTATAAAATTAGAAATTCCAGACAAATGTAGAAGCAGAAACATTAATATTATTAGTCAGGAATTAACTGCTGTTGTCATATATACACTCATACTTTCTCTCCCTCCCTTTCTCTTTGTCTCTTTCTCTGCCACTCATTCATACACACACACACACACACACACACACACAAACACACACATGCATGCGTGTGTTTGTGTGTGTATATATATAGAGAGAGCACTCAATATTTTCATAATTGTTTTGTTTTTTAATTTTAGCATATGCTTATTTTGTTATTGTTTGAGTAAAAAATGCATTTAACAATTTAACCTTCATAGGTTAAATTGAGTTTCTTCACATTATTTTTTCTGATATAAATAGTATTCTGATGACAAATACACATTTCTATAATTATATATAATGATTCCCCTGGGATATTAATTGGGACAGATGATAATGAACTGAATGAAGGTTATGATGGTACAAATAGACAAGGAGGGACCAGGTAAATATTTAGATGATACAGAAATAGAGTTAACAAAAGATTTAAGGTGCTTAGGAGCCAAGCTATTCAGACTTGAAAGAGCTAGGCTCTTGATTTTGTTTTTAGTTTTGAAAGGGCATAGTCAGAAATCTTAGCCTAATGTTAGAGACCTAGATCATTGAATTTATGAAACTTAATACTAGGTAGAGGTCAGGTTAGGATATGAGCTAGGGGTAGTTACCTATTAATCAGAACCACATAAAACTTTCTAGGTTGTGGATACTGAGGAACCTACAGTGCAAGAGAGAGCAGTAAAATTGAATGCAAACAAAAACCATTGCATGTGTTGCATCTGCTGCCACAAAGAAATGGGTAACTTATTTCTGTTAGAAGAGGATGTAGACAAAGACCAGAGGGGTTATTATCCTCTAGAACCCTGGAATCCGATTTTTAGATACCCATAAGAATAGCAGCAGGGAGAATTAGAGTCTAAACTAGCAACATT